TAATCACTTGCACAGCAAGAAAAATAAAAGCGTCATATAGCATCCTTCTCCTCCATGAAGAGAATCCCACTGAAAAAGTGTTGCTGGTGGAATGAGCTGTTCAACCTCACCTGGCCAATAGTTTCCAGTCCATAAAACACAGAAACCACATGCAAAGGAATCACTGACACCCAGCTCCAGCCATGAAGGGAAACTAGAAAGTGTTAAGATACTAAAACAGAAAGTGTTAAGGCAGAGATGCTCCATGGTTACCACACTCACTCACAAGTGGCCATTGAGCCCATTGCTTCTCTCACAACCAAACCATCATAAAAAACAATCTCAAATGTAACTAGAACAATTCTGACTTCTGCTGTAAAGCCCCGTGCTAGATGCTACCATGCAGACGTGATGTCTAGCACCATAGATGGAAAAAGTTGGTGTTATTCTTGGAATGAGATAAAAACTGTAACAGCTGATAGTGGCAAAGAGGATCCAGTCTAAAAGCTGCTCCTACAAACATACAGGCTGAGTCAGGATTCTGGCAACTACAGGTTCATGGGGCACTTCAAGCCACATTCATGGAAAACTGCAATCTCTCTGTATTTCTTTGCAAGGACTGCCAGTCCTTAAATAGTTGGGTTTTTTTCCTCCTTCCATACACACTCTCTCCTTGAGCTATGTTTAGAAGCAATTTCCACATCCTATCACCTGAAAATAAGTTCGTCAGACATGTTTTCACTTGATAGCACGCTTGGACTACTCCAGGGGAATGGGAGAGGAGGAAGTCCCTTATCCAGCCCAACAGGCAAAACCACAACCACAGGACTGCCTGTATTCACTAAGGAAAATTTGTTGTATGGAAAAAAAACCAACATCATCACATTTTGCCAAGCTCATCTTCTGGCAATACTTGAAATGTGAGGGCAGTGCCAATCACCTTTCTGATGTGCTTTCAGGCCATTGCCTTTCCTCTGAATTGACACAAGAGCTTTATGCTGCCAGCAGCTCCTTTGTCCTAGTGAGCACCCACACCTAGAGAAGGTGCTCATGCCCACAGCAAGCCTCAAGACTCTGACAAGCAAGTCCTTCTGTTAGGCATCACCATCAGCCAAGCAGAGATCACGGATTGATGAAAGGACCAGATACTGGAGCTTTAAACTTCCTTCAGCCAAAAATATCCAGCATGAAACACAAGTCCAGCAGCATCTCCTACCCTTGTAAATGAAGGCTGAAGCATATCTCTGCCAAGGTACGATTGCTCCTTCAGGTGGGGCAGGCTAATACCAAGCAGCTTTGTAAAGTCTGCAATATCAGAAGCTGAGGCACAAGAAGGATAGCTTCGCAATCTCACGTCTCACTAGTTAGCACTACAAGGAGTCATGACTGTGGAGAATAAGGACTGTTCTCCAACAAGATACCAGAGTTTGAGGGACTTATGTTTAACTGACCCTCCCACCTCTGGCCAATTTACATTTTCAAGACTTAGATATGGTGCCCATTGAAATGCCACACGCATTACATCTCTTCTAACTTAATTTTAAACTGGACTGAACTACCAAGCCAATTAGAACTTTTTCCCATCACACAGTACTGTAGCTGGGAACTCCTGGCTCTCCATACGCAGCCCCACTACATGTAAAAACTCATCTTTTGAACAAAACTAAGGTTGCAATAACTTGCTTGTTCAAAGCTTGTACTTACCCATCAAGTCATCCTTTGATTCTTAGATTGTTTTTAGCTGGGACCTGATAGTAGAAAACTGAGAGGAGAGACAACAGACAAAAAAAATCAACCTCAAAAATATAATTTCTTTCAGACTGAAAATACAAACACAGGGGGACATGTGCAAACACTTGACCCCTGCTCTTTTGGGCTCACCAGAGGGTATACGTGGGAGGACAGAAGTAAAGTGGAAGAGAGCTATTCAGCTTCATTTGCTGGTTTTGGATGTTAGTAGCCTCCCAAGGAATAGAGAGAAAGGAATGAGCTTTACTAAGGCCCTTCCAGGAACACTGGAATTAAAGGAATCAGGCTGCTGATGTGTGCCAAGGCTCAGCTTTACAGGTCTTCTTTCAGGGTTTAGCTGTAATGCTTTCTCAACTCTTGCTTACAATAAACAAAAACCACCCTGTAATACCTGACCAGGAAAGGCTCTGTTGCGGTGCTTGTTTTCAATATACAATCCATCTCAGCTGTTGCCAGAAACTTGTCTATTTTCCAGTGTGCCGTTCTTTTAGACACGGCCCTACCACTGGCAGAAGCAGGACCTGTCCCAGCACATTGCCAGCCCGTATCAGCACACCTTGCTGAGTGCAGGGCAAGCCGACCCCAGGCCAGGGCAAACAAACAGACAGCTCCTCTGGTCACTCTGCCTGTTTCCAGCCACAGATGAGACCCCCTTCACCGGCGCTGTGTAGCCTTGCCACTGCGTAACAGTGGCCCTCTGGACCTTGGATGGACCATTGCATTGATACAGAACGTGCAGGTAAACCAGCACTTGGCACAGCATCGTCCCCTGAAAGAGATACGGCATAAAGATAGCAGAGGTCGTAACAAGGTTTAATGTTAAACTTGTTAAGAACTTAAAACGCACGAAGTGCTTTTCATTAACCTGCATTTTGTATTTCCCATTTCTTTTTCTGGGTACTGATGTGTGGCTTTTGCACTTCAGCACCCACATCATCTTTGGTTTTCTGTCTCAAAAGAACAGGTTGAAAATTGAGCTTTATCTATTTGCACTGAAAGGAATAGAATAAAAGAAATAGCTGGATAAATAACACTTACAAGACTGTAAGTGAGCAGGCAAAGGAAACCTGCCAGGTCAACTACCTACTTACCTTCCAAAAGGAAATGTTAGGGTAACCCAGTTACAGATCTGTGTTGCCAAGGTATCGATCTGCAGAAGCCAAATAGACTTAAGACCTTCAGGGTGTTCCAGCTCAAACATGCTGAACTGACCCAACAGTGCAGGAAGTGGTATGTGATGGGCTGTCCAAGATCAGAAAGAGTCATTCCTGCCCTAGATACTGTCTCCAAAAACAACTGCTGCTGACTACAGACAGGAAGACCATTAGGAAAGACCAACATTTCCAGCATGTCCTCCCAGCTTGGGCAGTTCACAGGTTACCAAGCAAGAACTCACTGAGCTTCTCAATAGGTAACGTGTTTTATATGAAGGGATTAAAAAAAAAAAAGTGCAGGGGTAAGAGACATCCAAGCTGTACAGCATCCCTTTCTGCTCTCCCATACCTGTTACTAAAAGCAGCCTTTTTGGGTTCAGACTTTTCCAATAAAAGAGTTAAAAGCAAGCGTAGCTGCATACAACATTATGATAATTTTTAATAAGTAAGGGATACAGATCTCTCCTTCGTCCATACCCTCTGAAGTGCTCAACACTCACCTTCCAAACTTTGTAGTGACAATTTACACAGGGATTCAACAATAAGAGATACAGTGTGATGGTTCTCTATGGTTCAAAGATTTTTTTTTAATTTTTAATAAGTAATAGATCCCGATTTCTCCTGGAAAGTGTGGAAAGGTCCCCCAAGTTCTTCTTGAGGTCAGCTCCACCCTCAAGCACCTTGCTAGACCTGGTTCCATCCATCATGTTTGACCAGGTTGTGGGGAATAAAATGATGGGATGTAGGCATTTACCTGGGAGCTACTAGAAGGCTCACCTTGGTAGTTAGGACTGGGAGCAACATTGCACAAAGCATCCCTTTACATTCACGTGTGAAATCTGGGATACGACAACAAGTAACAGGGCAGTTCGAGCCGTTACCACACTGCTAGGACCAGGACCTTGCATTACTACTCAGGTAGTAGGAGTCCCAAATGGTTTTCTGTTTTGGACCTGGTACAGCCAGGCAATAGGAAGGGGTGCTCAGATCACTCGGGTTGATATCTTAAAGCCTGTTTTGGTTAATGACACTGCTGGTGCACCCACAGCATACCACCACACCGGTGGGACACAAAGCATGCTGTTACTGGGCTGCAAAACTAAACAGCTGTTCACAGAGATTACACCTCCCAAAGAACACAGCCACTTTAGCCGAGTGCTTTGATAGACTGGATTCCAACAGCAGCTGGAAAGACACTGAAGAGCAGTTCAGTCTCACAAATTCATTAAGATGCACTAGCACGTGTGAAGTCTGCTACAGCACTAAAGGCAGTTTGTGAAGAGAAACCACAATGTAGAGAACTCTGTGGAAGCAGAAGATGATGTTAAATAGCACGGGTTATCTCCTACTTGCTTTCAAGAGACCTTTGATGCTAGTTTATCTAATCTTAATATTGTTCACTGTACTTTGAACCCTCCCAGAAGCCAATAGTCACTGGTTTTAAAAATCATTTCTCCAGCTTCACTTGCCATCTTCTCTGCAACACTCCAAAGTTTCTTGCCCTCCACAGTGTCTAGTTTGCCGTCAGGCATCTGCCAATACCCCTCTGCGCTTTTCTCTCTCCAATCCAGAATTGGGGGGCTTTGGTTTCAAAGCCAGCAGTTCCCACAGTGCTGGATGCACACGAGAAAGGCTACCCTTAACATGCCCCATGCAGGGTGTAGAGGACTCTCGAGTACCTTTTCATAAGCATGCACAGTGCATCAATTTGAAAGAAACGAGGAGATTTTTATCCTATGCACACCGTATTTTACTTAGAATCAGTAATTAAATGCTTTTACATTTGATAAAGGTATTAGCAGAACACTCAAAGAAAGCAGTATATGCATCAGTTTGGTGGCTAAATCGTGATACTTAGTTCATTTTCTATTTCTTTTATATTTAACGGACCCATCTTGTAAATTTGCAGAAAAACTTGATGTTATCAACACAGGGGTGAAAACTGGACCACTCAAAAGTGTATATTCTTTTTAAGCAAAAAAAGGCTCAATATCAATATTATTTGCCTCCCCTTTTTTTCTTTCCATTTAAGGTAGATTAATATCCTTCACAGGACCACCTTCTCTATGCTGCATAAGGTGTTCAAATGTTAAGAGCAGTAATGAATTCAGTGGTTTGCTAGTCAGAAGGAACAATAAACACGTTGTTTTCTACTGCCGCCTTCATTGGGTGTTCATACTGCAGGGAAGGGAAGAAAAAAAAAAAAAAAAAAGAAAAAACATTTCAGAAGTTTATACAGCCGTTTATATTGCATAAGAAAAGAAACTGTAGAGATCCCAGAAGCACATTTAGATTCAGCTTTTAATTCTCAGGCACCCAGCCTGGAACAAGGTGCTGCAGGATGAGCAGCTCCCATGATACCATTGCTGCTTCTTCAGCCCTGCCCCTCTTTAAAGGGTATCCTTCATCAGGAGCACCTCCAGTAAGGGAAAGGCACATGTCGTGGAGCAACTCAGTGCTCGTAATGGAAACTTTTCCTTCTGAAAAGGCTCAGAATATCAGCTTTAACAACTACGGGAAACAAGTCCTCAGTTTTCAGCATCTTTTCTAAAATCCCAGGCCCAGTCTACTGTAGTGACCACCGATACAGCTGTCCCTTCAACACAGGGAGCTTTCTTCAGCTCTGTGCAGTGCAGATGTACAGCATCGCACTCATCACAGTAACCCCCCAGAAAGCCATCAGGTCAGCGCATAAAAGCTGCAACAGCAGCAAACGTACATGCGTATGTGATGGGGTGGACAAGATGGAAGCCAAGCATTGTATCAAAGTTAACAGAGTATTCAGCTTAACTTACAAATTAAAAGGAGGACTTAAGTTAGTGATTAGACTCTGAAGACTTTAAGAATTTAAACAGAATATTTAACTGGGATCCAAGGCAAATTAATAAATTTGGGTTTTAAAAGTCAAACTCTGAGGCATCAAGGCTAGATGTTGTCAGACCCAAAAAGCAGATGAGAGAAAGCATACAAGGTGGTGTTAGGCTGCAGAGGTCCTAGCCACAGGATGCCATGGACACACAACTCCAAGGGCAAGTGGGACAACGTAACAGAAAAGAACTGCATTAAAGGTCACTAACTACACAGAAACCAGCATCTGGATGAGGGAATCACCAAGATATGAACCCAGGAGAAGCATCACCACCTGATAGCCCTTGTCCTTACCTTCTCCCTTAGGCAAGTGCTTTTTCACCACTTTCCCAAGTCCCTAGCAGGGCAAACACTGCTTTCTCAATGCTTTCCAGGCATCAGGACTGTGGGTCCCATGAGGAATCAGCCCCACAGATGAACTAACCAAAGGTTTCCCCTCCCAGGACTTCAGTTTCATCTTTTCCCTTCCACCACTTATCAGTCAGGCCACAGCTCAAAGTCCACCGCTCACACAGAGCTGCCCGTGTACTGCACATACCGTTGTATTCTGGACAGTGTCAGCAAAACTCTTGGCTGTTTCACCCAGGGCCGAGTCAACAGACTGAATCCTGGAAGAAAAGTGAGCTCGTCTAGTTTGTCTGTGAAGCGTTAGTACTTACTGACAAAACTTCAGAGATGTTTACCAATAAAAATGAACCTCGTGATTCCCCCTTTTGCAGCTTTTTGACCAGCATTTGTACCAACAGTATCTTTTATATAGGAAATGATCGCCTCCTTCCACCACCTCTGACCTGTAGATACAGATGTGACCAGAGGGTATATCTTGTTCCAGACCCTGGTACAGCTCTCTTGTGCCTGTTCTGCACAACTTCCCATGCAGAGTCTCCCTCATTGCACTCTAGTCCCAATTCAGAACCCTCATGAGGCTGCAAGGGCTCCACCAATGGACACCGAGTGGACATGCCATACTGACTTCAGAATACTTCCCTGTACACAAGTGAGGCTACTACCAGCCTAACTCGTGCCTTCTTCGACCATCAGAGGAATTGTGAGCATGCAGGACAGCTGGTAGAAACGTACCTTTGCTTTTGCTGGTTGCAGAAAGAATTCAGTTTGAGCAACTGCCCATTCCAGAAGTCCTAAAAAGAGCCCCAAAGAAAACCCCCATTACTTGGGAAGGGGTACCTCTGCCGGCTAGCGCGGGAGAGGTCGTACACACCACTGCATCTTTCTCCATGCTGGCCAAGATTTGAGTTTCCTTCTCAAGACTGGCAAGCTCTTCAACAACAATCTTCTGAAAGGTCTCCAGCTTACTCAGCCTAGTGACGGAGAACAGAAACAAGTTTGACACTGTAATGTGGAGTAGGCATAAGGCAGATGACAATCCCTTCAGCACCAAACCTGTCTTTAGGCAGAAGCAAACGTCTTTGCTGAACTACATTGGGCAGTTTTGTTCTCGGGTATGTCATAGAGCACGTGACTAGCTGTGCCAGGTCAAATTGAAGAGGAGTTTAATTAGACAGCCTGTCTTAAATACCAGCCAGTAACAGAGGGCTGGGACAGAGTTTACAACAGGGCTCCCAGTGCAATACTTGCGCTCCATATTCTCCCAGGCTCCAGGGATTTCAGCAGAGATTTCTCAAGCTGAAGACAGCATCTTGGCACAAATAACCTCCGATAGGTTTTCCTACCGTGTGTACGATATACACATATAGTGTTGTCACAGGATACCAGAAATTTGTAAACCATAACCAGTTACACCCTTATTTGCTTCAGTTTGCCACCTTTCCCCTGGCAGTGAGATGCCAGCCATCATCTGCTGGTGGCTTTAGAAACTATCCTTCTGGGGTAGAAGAGATTTGGCACAGCTCTGTCCCCACTATTCTGAAGCTCTCATTGGCTCCAGGTTATTTTGTTAATAACATCAAAGCATGGCAGCAGCTCACCACCATCAATTCTTATCTTTCACCCCAAAACATTCCCTGGTTTTGTTTTTGGAACACAAACTTCTCTAAGTACCCTAAACAACAAGCAGATTCTGCTCGTAGATATCCTATTGATAGCAAAGATTCTGCACTTTAAAGGCTATTATTTCATACTATGTTTGATCTAAATCCTGCAAACTGAATGTGTAGTAGGTACAGAGGCCCGATAGACTTACTCATATCTTAGGCTGTGCTTGTATTTTGCTTATAACAAATCCATAACTATTATAATTGATTTTTTAATCTAGCTCCTATCTGAGAAACTGGACAACCTGTAAAGCAAAAGGACCTTAGAGCCCCATGTGGTAATGCTTGTAAAGTCCACTAACTGGCACTTACTTTGTGCACACAGAAACAGTCTACAGAAATGGGTCTATAACAGACCCCTTACTTTTTTCCTCCCCCACTTCATTAAGTAAATCAGAGTTTGGCTTCTTAAAACACATCGAAACGGAAGTTACTAAGTGTGACAAGAGGGTTTCTAAACAGATTTGCAAATATTGATGACAAACAGAAGACAGTCTAAGGACTGCTTCATCAACTGCTCCTAACTCAATCTTGCTTTGCATTAATCCATCCACTCTCCTCTTAACAGGCAAGCGAGGACAAATCACAGGAGCTATGCTTCTGAAGCTCTTCTTACAGAAAAGCAAGAGAAACGCACAAGCTATTTTGCCCTACAAGCCATAATAATAAGTGCCGCAGCTTACTGTCAGGTTCGCTTACAAAGAGGGATTCCTTTTCACATCAATCAAAATTTACACAAAGCTGATGCGTTTTCAGCCAGCAGCAGACAACTTACCTGCACTCATGTATCTGGTTCAGCGGGGTGGACACGTTCTTCTCTGAGGTCCTCAGGGTGTTCTGTGCACTGGTCTCCATCCTTTTGTACCGCGACTAGCCACAGGATGCAGCGTTAGGGATGAGCAACGGCCCAAGCCAAAACCTAGCAGTCTAGTTTGCAAAACCCTTCCCTGGAACACAAATCCTCCACCTTCCGCCATTCAGCTTAGTAGAAACCATCTTAAATCAAAATTAAACTGAAGTGAGACAACACATAGGCAGGATACTGCAAAGATGAACAGATTTCATTCAGCCACACTAGTTACACCAACAAACCTCTATGTAACCCATGAGACTTCAGGTCAGGGTCATGTTACCCAGCCAAAGAAGCGAGCATCACCCATACTCCAACACACTTAACAACTGCACAAAACCAGCTCTTTGTTAGCACTACTTCAGATCAGCATTAATGCAAACTGTGCAGATTTTAATCATAACCGATTTGTAAATGCAACCACTTCCAGCCTCGGTTCAAGGACTTAGCACCAAAAGTTTAGGGCAAACACCTGGCACCAGATCCAAAAAAAAGTCATGGTTGCATGATACACAGTGCTGATCCAGTATAAGTCTGCTCTGCCCCCGTCTGGTTTGTTTAAAGCTTTTAAACATAAAAAGGTTTTGTGATGGGTCAGATCCTGTCCTTTCATATTAAATGTGGTTTAATGCCCACACTACCTGTTATAGTTAAATCAACAGTAGCAGTTGGTTTCTTGCACTGCATCTCATGTATGTCTACACAGTTGAGTGAACCAGGAATACACAGCTTATATACTACCAATTGCACAACTAACACCTCCACGTACCAATTATCTCAAAGATACAAGAGCATCCTTATGGATCTACACATGTTCTAGTCAATGGGTGTAGCTTGTATTGCTTTCTGTTTCTTATTACGAATAAGTTGCATAGTCTTATATGGCAATGAAACTGCTCTGTGCGCCAAAAGCGAGCTTCCGTATTTTTTGATACATGCCCATGAGGACAACAACCCACAGCTCCAATGTAGGTACACTGTCACTATGCTGGTTTACCTTTCAGAAGGCTTTGATCCCTTCCCTCTGAGGAAAGTATTTGAAATGCCTAACCAAATCTGATGTTCCAACATATAAACAAGAAAAAGAAAAAAGGAAAAACCTAATTAAAGATTCCTTTACTCCTTTCCTGTAACACTTCTCAGAGTATACAGGTTGTGCAGAATACTTCCAACAGCTCCACACTAACAGACACTGCAGCCAAAACTCTGCTCTTGGGCACAAAATATTGATGGGATATTTGCACCTACTCCCCTGGTGATAAAAAGATTCTTTCACGTACTATGAGCAAATGCCACACATGGTACACACGTTAAGAGAGCGCACGTTACCCAGAACAATTTCTTTAGTTGGCCGGTAAAGCTTTCAAATGCAGCAATCACCCCTGAATCGCTGAAGTCTTCATGCAGCATCTTGGAAAAAAATGCATCATCCACACTGTCATCCATTTCCTGACCTAGGAGAAAGCGTATGCCCAGTTAGTACTGGAATACAAACCCTCCCGCTACCGAAGGGTTCATTGTTCATGTGAACAACATTTGTTATAGAGCTGGAATCCAAGTCTTGCTCTTCCAGAGCTCACTGAGAAAGACTTGTTAGAAAGCAGCATGGAAGAAGAGGCACAAGCACACAAAGAGCAACATATTTACAGATAATGAGGCAAAAGCATAGCACAAGGGAAAAAAGAGTCAGGCCGCTGTTTTCCTGTCTTCTACTTGTTCATTGCAAGGAAAGCCTCACGCCCGTCTGTTTAGAGCTAGCAGTGTTTTGCAGTTACTTTGTCCATTAACGGCATGCTTTTCTCAGGGTTTTTTGTTTGTTTTTTTTGTTTTTGTTTTTTTTTTTTTTTTAAATAGCTCTGGAAAATCACTATACAGAAAGATGAGAAAGTGTGGACATCATTGAGTGGCTTCCTGAGTGGAATGTGGTTAGGGAACCCAAATTTCCTTATTCACACCTCTGCATACATGGTATCCAATGGCAGCACCGCAATACGTGCCTTCTGCTACATTTTCACTTTTGGAGAAGATATGCTCCCTATAGATGCCTCTCTTCAAGCTTCTACGTGACTATGATTTCTACCATCAAAAAAGAAAAGTTGAAAGCATTTAAACACTTCACCTTAATTGCCAACCTGACTTTACCTGTTTGGATCTCTGCTTCCTTCTCTACTGAATCAAAAAATTGCCTTTGCACATAGGAAGTGTCAGAGGATAAATGACTTGTTTCCCAACTGGAAAATTTAGGCTTTTTAATGACAGTGCCACTTAATATACCTAGAAAGAGAACAGAAGATGTTTCAGAAAAAAACCTGTTCTTTTGCATAAGGTACGTGGCAGTACCTACCAGCTACTCGGAAACCGCCACTGGAATTACCAATACTGCAGAAAAGCAAGCAACTTCATTTTAGGGTCTGGCATCACTCTTACAGAACAGGATAAAACTTCACCAGCAAGTCTCTTCACTCACAAAAGCAGGCAACTAGACTGCCTAGTGCTATGCACGTAACTGGAAAATTACCATATCTCCATCTTAAAGACAATTTCATTTCTTGGCCCACTTCCCTAACCACAAAAAACCCTCTCCTGTCCAGCTTCTTCCCATTCTCTTTTCCAACCCAAGCTCACAATCTCTTTATGCTCATTTGTTCCTAAGCTAATTTCAGCTGCTTCTTCAAAAATAAAATGCACAAATACAGAAGAAGGAGAAAAACTATTCACACCCATAACAGGCGCCTTTTCTGCAGCTTTACTAGAGTTGCCATACAATTGCTTTTAACCCAAGAAAACCCTTAAGAACGGGGTGAGGGAGGCTGCAGCCTGTATTTTAGGGAAAACGTGCAAAAAAAAAAAAATCATCCATTTGTCTCACTGTCCACATTTCTGAGCTCAGTGAAGTGCCTGTTTGACTAACCACCTCTCTGGCACCTCCACAGGGCAGAAAGCAGGGAGGTGGTGGAGCCCAGGACAATGGGGACAGTCAGACCATGAGGAGCACACCAAAGTAGATTTAGGGTTCACAGAGCAAGAGTTCAAATGCAGTCACAAACCACACCTGGAATTTTTGAACACAACCCAAGTTGTGCCTTCACATGGTATCAACTCCTCTTCAACTCTAAGACTGTACAGTAAACAGAGATAAAAATTAAGTCCCCAGCACTTATCTTCCCTCAAAATCGTTGGTGCAGTGGAGGTATATTCTGCAAAAGCTGGACAGGTAAGAGACATATTGCAGACACAAACATAGTTGGCTCACAAGAAAGGGGATGCTTTTGTCCCAGACCAAAGCTTCAGGGACTCAGTCCATAGTCACAACAACAACTTTAAGACAGCCTTGCAGAACTACATCAGCATCGAGATTATTACAATGAAGACAGCCCATTGCTGCTCAACTTTCTTGAAATGGGGTTGTTTCCAATCACCATAGAGACTGTGCTGCAGTTTTGAATTAGTTTGTGCAAGTTCTGTTCCATTAAAAAAGGTCCAAAATAACACTTACCTTAAAAAAGCTACAGCAGTAACACAAGCCGTCATTTACCAAATGCTTATAATCATGGTCTGTGTCTATATTCTTAGGTATAAAGAAAGTCAACGACTTTCAGAGATGCTTATTTTTTTAATGAAGTTGCACTGCACTTTCACATCATTAAAAATTAGTTTTTGAGCTTCTATTACTTATTTCACCTATTTTGTCTTGGGTCACTGGGGTTGTAAATCCCCAGCTCTTAGTAGCTATACTAGTAGCTCCTCTGTGATCAAGGACAGGATTTAAGAGTTACTGATGAACTCAGGAATGTACATAAAAAGCATCTTGCCATAGCCTGTCATGGTATACAAACCAGAGAAAGGGATACTTTTTGCATAAGAAATATCTTCCTTCAACCAAAAATCTCAGTGCCTACTTGTCTTTGAAAGAAAAGTTACAACTCTGTCAATGCTCCTTTCTACTTTTTAAGCAGCTCTTCCACGTTATCAAGACTAACAAACCTGAGTCCTTCCGCTTCAAACTTTCTTCTTCTCTTGACAATGTGCCAGATGTATCATGATACTTCTAAGGAGAGAAGGAAAACACAGTAAGAAGGTACCCATGCTGCACTGCAGAAAAGCTGTCAGGGCTTTGCCTTCTTATAGGAACCAAAGCAAGACGATGCACTGGTTTTAGATGAGAAGTAGCCTGACAGCGGATCAGGAGTCTAAAGTGTTGCATACTGCACCTGTGTGGCCTTCTCCTCATCACTGGAAAGGCCCTTGGCAGACGCATCAAGTGACAGCGGACCCCCTTTGAGCTCCTCTGAGAGCACTTCATCTGCATGAGAGATCAACCAAAAAACACAGGTAATAGAGGTTGAATCCTGTATTGACTAGAAACCTCAATTTAATGACATACATGGTGGGGGGAAGAAACTACCACCCTCTCCTCTATCTCTTCACACAGGGAAGAGACAAACAGACAGTGGCTCAAACTCAGTCCAAAGGCTGTTTCATTTCTGGCTATCAATTAAGCTCATTCCTTCACCTCTCATTAGCCCCAGCTAATGTTCTGCCTGCTCAAGAGACTATCTACAAACAATATCCAACCCTCATAGCCATTGCAAGAAATATCAACAGGCAGAATACTTGTGAAAAAAATGTTAAGAAAAAAGGCAAAATTAAAAAAAAAAAAACACCACCAAAACCACCACCCAAAAAGCACACACCCACACATATCAAACCAGCACTTTTAATGCATTGAAGAAGATTAAAAAAGAAATACCAGCAAGATCCACTGTAGGTAAATTGTCTTCCTTGGAGCTGGCGGTGCTTTTTTTCTTTAGCATCTCCTTTTCAGCTCTTCGCCTTGATGCTCCCTGCTGAAACAATATCAAGTCTAAGCATATATTTTATTTAAACATTACTAAAGAAGTAGGGGTTTGGTTGGGTTTTTTGGGGGGGAGGGTTTTGTTTGGTTGTTTTGTTTTTTAAACATACTATGACCAGAGATACACCTGAAATATGCCTAACTTACTGACAGCTCTCTCCAACACTGAAGGAGATCTGTGCTCTGAAGTTCAATGCATGTATACGTTCTCTCTTTAGCCATGAGAGTTGCGTAGTCAAAGTTTTTCATATGCAGAAACAAAGTATTTTAGTCAAGAGAGAAGAGAAAATGTTTCCAGGGGAAAATAAAAGCTTTTAATGCAACTACCAGTTCTGGAGACATTTTCCCCAAACTTTCTGTATTTATGTGGGGCCCTTTCCAAAACATTTAATATAAAGTACAACAGCTGGGCACTGGAAAAGTATGTCATTGCTAAACTGTATTTTATTTTGCTTGATGTATGCCTGGTCCACTAATTCTCACATCAGTATAACCCATGGTCAGTTTTCCCAGAGCTATAGCTGAAAGCCGAGAAGGACAGTGCACGAACCATGACTCAGAGCGAGCATAGGACTTGGAATAAAAGCCCTGAAAATTGCCAGCAAAACACAGAGGAGAACATGAGCTTTCCTAAGGCACCAGCTTGCAGGACAGGACAGAGGAACAGCACAGAGACTAAGCCTGGTAGGACCCAACCAGGATTTCTCCAGGTATTTGGATAAGCAGCTCTAGCTCTTGGCATGACCCTAGAGCTGAACTCATTCCTGTTGAAGTCACACCTGCATCAGCCAAGGCAGGCGTCACACTGAACATGCCAATTCCTGCCCAATTTTCCATCTATCACAGGTAGATATTACAGTTTTAGAACAACTTGCTTAGGGCTCATGCACAGTTGTTTCTATGAAGTTTCATGTGTTTTCCTAAGACCTCTTTGTTTCCCCAGCCTCTAGGTCACCAGCACTTAGTAGGCAAATTTGTGCATCACAACATTCGAGAAGAAAGATAACATCAGTTTAGTTAATTCCTACTCATTTGTACACATTTTGCATACATAATGTTTTTAAATATGAGGCACCTAAGCATGACAGCTCCTCACCTTCTTTGTCTCGTAGTCACTGCCACTACTTGCAGAAGACACTGGAAGCACTGCAAGGAGAAAAGTTTACCTGGTTACTGACAACGCGACTGCGTGCCTTACCAAGTTAAGGTTTGAATCACAGCTAACTCAATTGAGTTTGGTTTTCAAGGCATTTACAAGAGAAAACTTCACAACGTTTGCATTAAGCTTCAAAGCCCCTTTCTAACAAAGCTTCTAAACGATGATGCAAATGTACGCAACTCACTGCATCCAGAGCAGTTGCCAAAAAAAAGGAGGCAAGCTCAGCAGTTTGTCCAGTGGCCCCCAAGCCCCAGCTAGGGTGCGCGTGCTGGCACTGGAGTGAGAACAGCTCCTTCTTTGGAAACACAGCATAAAGCATAATTTCTCCCTCAGCTTTATTTTACTTTTTCATCCCTACAGAAACCAACAGCTACCTGAGCAAGGTTCATTCTCCCCAAGAAGGACAGAGAGATTTCAACTCTTTCTAGGCAATTTAGTTTGAATTTGGAAGTCCCAGCAGCCAACACAGCCGTGGAGCATGACCGCAGGGGAGGCTTGCTGTTGGTCAGGCCTGAGCAGAGGATGCTATCAGAGATTATTACATCTGATTTTGCAAATCACTCTGAGGACAATCGGCCTGTCGGTGTATAAACAGGGGAGCAGGGTGCCATGGTCTGCGAACTGCGTGTTTTTTCCAGGTTTATTCACTGTGTCAATTGTATTTCTGGAGAAATGAGGAGAGGAAAGTTGTAGGGAGGAGGTATGGCCACTCCAGAGAGATCTTCTTTCCCTTGCGTTCAAGAGAATGAATGCAGCCATCAGCTCAGCACCCGTGGGTTCTTCAGCCCCTTTACACAGAAGACTGCACCCACACAGACATTTAGGTGCCAAATTTCCACCTGGACATTTGAACTCCAGTACATTCACTAGAGGGAAGGGAGCCTGGTTCTTCAAGCACGAGGGTGCACAATGCACCTCCTCCACGGGGCACCCCTCACTGCCAGCCTCAAGCCTGCTCTTTCCTGCTTGGATCAGGACTAGGCTGAATCCTCCTTCTCACCATCATCAGCCACTTCCTTATCTGCAGAACAGTAAATTGCGCATAGGTAAGTGTCAACAGGGGACCAACCTCACCTTTTAATTTACTTCTCACCCTGGGTCTTTTTCGGGTATAGTCAAGAGATTTTGGCAACGACTGTTTCTGAGAGTCAAGGATCCAGCTTTTTTCACTCTGACCAGTGCTTGTATTTTCATTGTTGCTTTCAGAGAAAAGATGTTTCCTGTAATTGGACTAAAGACACTATTAAGAGTGAGTCCTGCTCAGTCAGCTCCCTCTGTCTACCCAGAAGCCCCGCAGCCATTCCCCTTCATTTACCACCAAATTATTCCATTTCTTCCCCCCACACACAGTGCAATACCTAAAGTATTTTAAGCTGTGAAATCTGCCAAAAGAGCAACAATTAACTGTCAAACCAGCAGTATAAAAACACTAAGAGGCACATGCTTGCACTTTGTCAACACAGGGTTTACAGCATCCTCCATTCTCATCTCACCCCCCCCCTCCCCGCACCCAGATAAAAGAGCTCTCACAAGGAGGAAAGCCATGGCATGCCTGAGCTGCAGCCAAGAGCACAGTGAGAAAAAATGAACACAGACATTCACTCGCTGGTCTGGCAGTCCTGGTGCACCCTGAGCACTCCTCTCAGTAGCAACAAGCGGGCCGTTTTGAGGCTACCAGGCTCACATTCCTCCACCTCTGCGCTGGGTAAGCCTTAAACTTCAGCCGATTCGTACAGCTGGATGCAGACAGCACACAAAGCACACTCAACATACCAGCCTTCTCTCCAGCTTGTTTGATTCCTCGGTCTTGTTTCCTGTTTCATAACTCCTGCCAAGTAACCCATAAAGACCTGAGTTAACGCATCACAGCGGCGCAGAAGGGGCACAGCCAAATAGCAACGGCAGGGTGCTCCTTTGGAGAGCAGCTGGAGAACCAAACTGTTAACGCGCAGTCATTAGCCAAGTTTTGATTCTTTGGTTGGTTTCTGAAAGTAACGATCCAGGGATACCTACAAATTAGGACCTTTTAAAAGAAAAAATAGGCTGCATACTTAGAGGTGGTAAGCCCCTGGGAGTTTACTATAACCAGAGGCAGCCAAAGCAAGGCAGAGGGTTTAAGCATTTTTCAGAAATTTAATCAGGGATTTAGGTATATGATCAGGGAAGGGGGATGTTTAAGAGCTATAGTCTTACTACTGTCAAAGCAGACAGGACTCATTATTCTCTCTCATAACTTTTATATTCTCAGGTGCTATTTAAATAATAGTATCGATACACAGGTACTGTGGCAACTAAGCAAGGAACTATTTTATTAGAAACATCACACAGTCATTTTGATCCCAACTTAAAACAGCTTAACTAAGGCAACAAACTCCTCTTTCACAGAGCAAAAGGTTCATAAAGAGTGCACGTATGATCCTGTACCTCTGATTTTGTGAAGAAACTTTCTGGCCAAGAACCTTTCCTTTGGCTTCAGCAACCTAAAAGAGAAGAAAGTATTTGTCTTAAAGTCTAATTATCCCATTAAATTATCTAAAAAATTAATATCTATCAAAACTCAGAAGATCTAGCGGAGGAATGGATTACAAGTCCAGCATGGAAATTCAACTTTTTTAACGGAATGGGATTTGTTGATTGAAAGTGTCATAAATTATAACAGACAAACATTTGTTATCTTAATCAGAATTACTTTCTCTTTTCCTTGCTTTATGAATAAGATCGTTTTAAGCAATAACGTCATAAGAAGCATAATTTTAAACAATAACAGAGCTAGTAGTAGCACGCTGCAAGCGCAGCGTGCCTTATCTGGACAGCTTTTGGACAGGGCTGCTGGGACACGGGGAAGGGTACCACGAAGCAGGGTTTTATGCTGACACCCAGTGGCAGTAGCGAAGATTGGACGGTGTCCCGTTTATAACAGAAACCTGGGGTGTCCCATCGGGCACCCATTGCCTCCAAATTAACAGGCAGCAGTGACAGCATCCGCTCGAGGGAAGAGGCCAAAAAGCCAAAGGGTTTGTACGGTGAAGCCACCTTGATCCTTGATCCATCAGGAGCAAGTTTTCAGCTTCCTGGGAAAACCCGCACTGATCAAAGTTTCAAAGCAGGCTGAGCAACTCATTCTTATATGATTTTTCTAACAGTCTGCAAATATAAGTCAAGCAGAATTTCCAACATAAGTTTTGTGGGGACTGGCTTTAACCGGGGATTCCCAACATGCTAAGTGTGGCTTGAAACGGATTTCAGTCTCTCCTGGTTTAGCCTAAGAGCGCAAAGCAAAGGACGCTCAGCAATCTGCTTTCAATAATCAGTAAAACGCAAACAGAGGTTGGCCTTTGATCACAAAGATATCCCACAGCCTCCCTCAAGCAAAGCTCAAATTTCTATTGCAGTTGGTTATATCATACATTACTAACTACAAAATTCAAGTAGTGATGAGCATTCTCACCACCCTAAAAAAAAAAAAAAAAATATTTCCACATATAGCACCCATACAGAAAAAAACCAAGAACCTCAGATTCCCAGTTGCCTGTTTTGCTATAACAGCACGTCCATCCTTACTGTGGAGATCTCCTCTGCTTCAAGTTACTACTCTGTCAGCTGCTGAGCTGGGACCTTAGCGCACCTCCTAACAGCTTCTGTCACAACTTTACCTTTTCATGACTTGCAGAGTCCGAGTTTTCAAAGTCATAGAGGTCCTTCCTGCAAGACAATGTATACATGGCAGTGACATACAATCATGAACAGTCACCCTATAGAACTTCATTGACAATATGGGGAGGAAGGATAAGTCCCCCCTCCTTCATGAACTCTGTTACACAGTAAACACTCTAATACTGTATATGCTTAAAAATGCTATTGCTGCATCTTCTAAGAAATACTTGTTCCTTTCCTTCTTAGTCCCTATTATTGTCTTATTTCATTTTCACACTTTATTTCTTTCAATTATATATTTTTAATTTTGTTGTCTTATTTCATTTTCACACTTTCTTTCAATTATATATTTTTAATTTTAAGAGAAATATTCAGAAGATACAAACAGGTTAGCCTATCCATGTTTATAGAGTAGACATCTTGTTTCCACACGTCACTAATAGTACAAAGCAGGAAGAAGTCATGAATGGATTTAAAGATAAAATTTCAGAAGTATTTAAAAAGAAAAAAAAATCCATTTAATTCCCTTTTGATAATTCTAGTACTTAATGTTTGTTCTCTAATTACTTCTCTGTATGCATCCAGATTTTTTTCCATGCCTTTCAACAATCAGGATGAAGAATACCTTTATTTCTTTCTCCAGATCGCAGCTATTTAAAAAAAATCCTACAATTACCTCTCAATATACAGTACACCCTTCCCTTCTTACTAGCGAAAGGATAGGAAGACTAAAGAACTAAGCTCTTCTCGTTAAAGCTTCCTTGAGGGAAAGAAATGCTCGTTCTCAGACAAAACACTAGAGGGAGCAGAATGACAGAACTAAGACGTCTTCTCCATCTCCAACTTCTACGCTGCTGCCCCTGTTTTACAGCCAGTATTTGGTGCATCAAACTATTTGGGCTTAAAACACAAAACTTGTAGTAATGATGAAGTCCTGCATCACGTTTTCCCATTCTTATCTCCAAGCAATAAAAAAACCCAAACAAAAAACCACACGCATCACACCACCTAAACACTTGTTTTTTAAGCTAAGAGCCAGTAGACTGAAGGAGGACACCCAAGGAAGCCCTAGAACAGCAGCAGGGATCCTCACATATGGTTCATTTACTCTCCTGTCCAGCAGCAGGCATTAACCTGCACGCAACACTTGGTTGGCAGACAGCGTGGGAGGAGGGCGCAAATAAGACAAGTTTCCAGTGCCGCAGTCCGCATACGGTCCTCAAAGCCTTGAGTGCTTCTGCTGGCGGTGCAACTAGCTTTGAACATGAGCAGACCAACGTACGGGCATGAGGGAAGGTGACAAACTGAGAAAGAGACCATCCTAAAACTCTAGGAGACATGATGCCAAAAGAACTGAGACAATATCTGAAAAAGCTTAGGTATTTGTGAAAGAAGCTGCCACTCATAGCACAGCTCACTGGAGGATGGGAGGATTACAGCTGGGTGAGGAAAAAAATGGAAAAGCCAACCTGACATAGTATCACTGAGGCAGGGGCATTTTTTGGCAGCCTAGAGTTAGCTTCCGAAGACTTTATTGTTTTGGGAACCTGAACATTCCCACTGAGACATTATAATCCTTTATAGCCTCCTGCTTGTTTGGTCTCAGTTCTGTTCAGACAGCCCAGCCCGTGGGCACTCCCTCCCCCCAAGAGTGCTAGAAATGGTCTAAAAACCCCCTGGTACAGACAGGAAGAGACCCTATGTGGGCACAGGGCTCGTGTGTCATACCTGCCTTCAGTCCTCTTCTTGGCCAAACTTCTTCTTCTGTTTCTCTTTTGCCAGGTAACAGCCTTCTGAAAAGAAGAGTTGCAGGATCTAAAACTACAATATGCAAAGTCATGCACTTATCCTAGAGCCTGCTAAAAGCAGAGATAAGGAGTGCCAGGAAACATCGTTCACTCCCATTGCAACAGCCATCCATCTCAGTTTCCTGCAGTTCCTTCCCTACCAGAAAGTATGAGAGTCCTGAAACTAAAAATTGGGGGGCCAAGGGCATGAGGATACAGAAAAAAATAGTTCAAAAGCTTTGAATTCACTGTGCAGCAGGCAGCTATTACAAAACCTTTGAACTGACAGTAATTTAAAAATAATCTAATGTAAACCCATGACCAAGTCTAAAATGTGATTCTTACTCCAAATTAAAATTATTGCTTTAGGAATTTAAATTTCTCTCATGTAATACATAGATTATTTTTTTATAACTGGACACATTCATAGAAATTTCCAAGTGCTCAAGCTGTCTAAAGACACGCAACTACAGATGGCTGTCAGTTACTTCTTCATTTACCCTGGTTGCAAGCTCCTATGCCGGGAGTACAGGGACAGACTTAGTGTGGAAGGATCATTAGACCTCAAATACAAAACTGAATAAATATGTCTCTAGACTTCCAAGACTTGCTTCCCTTCAGGAAGCAAACCTTTGCTCTTGCAGCTGAGACACGTGAATTCGTCCCACATAGGGCCAGGCTGGTTGCCCACACACTGTGCTCCTGGACACAAACACAGCACACCACTGCCAGTGGGTATATACTGAATGAACTCAGCTGAGTTTGAATTACTCTAGACCACACTAAGCTAAGGTCAGGAGCCAATGCCTCTACAGCTTGCTCCTGGAGCTAAATATCATGTTACATCAGGTACAAATGACACTACGTAAGTGTAGGACACCACTCAAGGGCAGAAGCAGGTCAAGCCACCCTAGTTTTCTTCTGCAACTCCACCACAGCATCTTTTCCTTGCCCCATGTCTCTTCACTCAGGTGGGCCCCAAGGCAAACATACCTTTGGTGTCGACTCCTCCATGGGTTCTTCTTCTAGGGGCTTCTCACTAGGGACAAGAGGACACATGAGAGGAATGCAGTGCTGAGGGGCTTTTCATTTAAAGCCCAAAGAGTCAGCTTGTGAAGTACTAAGAGGAAAAACAACTTGCACAAACTAGCATCAAAGCAGTGGTTTAAAAGATGTATAGGGAAGAAAGCTAAATCAGTAGCTCTACAGAAGTCCAACCCATTAACTCTATAAAATGCTGTCCTGCAAAGCTCTGAAGAAAAAAAAAACTATCCAGGTATTAATAATGCCAAGGTAGACTCAAATTCACATGATCTTTCACAAAAGTCATCATCCTTGTTATGAAAAGCTACATATCTGGTGAGCTCTAGTTACACAGCTGAAGTTAAACTCTAATATATGCTTATCTTGTATTTGGATTAAATCAATTATGAGAGAGAAGAAAGTCACACCAAAGTAACAGCCAAACCAGTAACCAAACACCACCGTTCTGCAACTCCAAGCAGCCTCACTAGCCAGGGTGGCAAAACAGATTATTTTTTTTTTCCATTTAATAATCGATGGAATAAACCTCAAAATCACGTGCATTAAAACCCTAGGGGAGGGAAAACAAAAATCATAAAAAAAACCCACAACCAAACCACAAGTTGCAACTCTCTTTTCTCTGAGACACTCACCTAGGCTTAGCTTTCATTCCTGGAGATGGAGATTTGGACTTTTTTGCTGAAGGAGGCAAGGAAACTACAGCTTCACCCTCTGGAGCTACTATTAAACACTTATCTGCTTTTGCTGCAAGGCCCACAAAAGCAGGGCCTTCACCATGTCACCTGGGTGACACGTAACTGGGTCAGACTTAAGGAACTGAAGGGAGCCATGCCTGACCTGAGCCTCGGTTAGCATCTTCCGCATCAGTCTGCTGGCTCACTGTAATCATGGTGACACCAGAGTTAACCATTTTCTGCTCGGAGACATGAAACCATGAACAGAGCGTGCATACGACCAATAAAGAAGCAGGGGTTCTTTTGGGGAACAGAGATTTCCAGTGCTAGCCTGTGGCAACAGCTGGATGACAGGTTCATCATCAGCCACACATAAAAACATTTTAGGTTGCATATAAGTGATACTATGAGCTTCTCTCCTAGAACATCGCACCATTCCCTTTATAAGAGGGAGTAAAGTTTATTTTCTTTTCAAAGCAGTTTTGCCAAAATTGCAGCTCTGGAGGCAAGTATTTGGGCTGACTGCTCACCGATATAAGGTGGAGTTTGAAACCATTGTCATATCTGGGTACAAACTAGTTTTCTTTGAAAGAAGGTTTCAACTACACCTATAAAAAAAAAGCAGACTGGAGGAGGGGGGAAAGGGGCAAAAGGACTGTTTCACCATACACCAAACACTTACTGGTACGGTGCCTGTTATCTGTTGGCTGTGCTGAGAGGCTAAGTTGTCTGATACAGTGTCCATGTTTGAAGGATCTTTCCTGCCCTCTGGATTAGTGGACTCAGGTACCACTGCAGAACAGCAACAGGTGAGAACTTTGTTGCCGTAACTGAACACACACACATTTCCTTTTCATTCTTATACATGTGCATAAAAGCATAACTGTACAACTTATTAGGCGCAAACATCCCAAGATCTTGTTTCATAGAACAAAAACGTCAAACATCTCCAAATTACCTAGTGCAGAATTGCAATACCAAATAAATAGCACCTCGAGCCTACCCCTTTTAAGCCCCTTGTACTATGTGTAAGTTTATCATCTTATTGCTACCTTGACTTTTAGCTCTGGAAGGCACAGAACAACCCTTTGTGTCTGGCTAAAGCAACAGACCAGCAAGATCTTCCACCATCTCTGTTTCCCTCCACTGAATCTCCAACAGGCAACTGCAAAAGTTGTTTCACTACAGATGAACTACCTTCTGCCCATTCTACTCCTTGATTGCTTCAAGTACTAGTGCCCACCTTCTACCTCTGTGTGCTTCATGGTGGACACTGATGAAGGAGCTTCTCCCTCACCTGCACCTCCAGAATCTGGAGGAATTCCATTCTAGCTCATTTTGGGTTGTAACTGGAGAAAAATGGGAAGAACTACTGAACAAGTTATGACTCAGACGTCTAGAGATGGAAGTAGCTCTCTCGGGTATTCACCTGGAAGAATCTGAAATGCACAGTAACTACGAGGAAAGTAAAATTTGCTTTAACATGAGCACAGAAAGAATACTACCTAAGGGCTCTTCAAACTTGTGATTTCCGAGATGGTGGGTGGTAGCAGTAGAGAGTGAGCTGTGAGTTCATTGTCTGAGAAGACCTGGAAAGATCTGTTAAGCAAGTTACACCAAGGAATAATCCACTCAAAAAATAATCATTTTAAAAACTGAAGTACAGGCAAGGACATATCTCAGTCTTCAGAGATAAAAGACCACTAAACAGAAAACAAGCCACATCCCAAGTTGATACTGAAATTGAGCTGAGGAAACATTTCCTGTTTAAGACCAATTTTGATCATGCACGCCTCTTGCTTTTGCACCAAAAGCAGCTTTTCCTCAAACTATGGGTCACAGCCTTGGGGATTTACAGAAGAACTTCAGAGCAGGGTAAAGGGAAAGGAAGGAGCTACTTTCTCTTCCTTTTAGACCAATGCTGGACTTGAACCTTCCTTTTGGTCAGGCACGCAAGTGTCACACCTACATTTCAGGCTCTGCGTTCGCTCAACATCTATCATATTTGGAACAAAATTAAACTCAGCCCAGTGATCCTGCAAGGAAACATCTTGCAGGAGATGTTGACTGGCAGCAGGGGAAATGCCACCATTTGATCACAGAAAATTCAGCATGCCCAACTCAACAAAAAACAAAGCGTTGGCTGTAGGCTGGTGAGAAGAAAGAAGTAATGAATATTACAGGTCCAGCTAAGAGCCTCTCCTACCATAAGGCACACAGCTTACATCTGTAGTTGGGGCCCACATAGAGACAGCCCTGCAACACAGGGTATTTATAGCAGCACTCACAATGTCCCTGCATACAGTAGTGGGTCACCTCCTGCAGAGAGGAGCTGAGCTCCTGCTTGTCTCTCTACAAATAGGGACTGCGGGTGAGCGTTTCTGCTCCCTGAGCTGCACTTCCACAACAGCCCCCAGCATCTCCAGGACATCATCTGCTCTGTGTTGGTTAATGGGACTGGAGTGCACCGTTCTCTATCACATCATCTTGTTGGAAAGAAGCAGAAGCGGCCTCCCTGCAGGAAGCCTTGGTAGAGGCTACCCCACCACACGCAGCCACTGCACAGAGAGAGCACGTTAAGTTCCAAGGTGCAAGTGCTGGTCCATCAGAAGACCTGTGCTTCCATGGGCACACAGATGCCACTGTCCCCTCCTAAGGGGACTCTCCCACAGGCGCAGTGCAGCCAAAACAGGAACCACGCATGGGGCAAGCAAGGGAGGATAGATGTCTGCATCCCATTGCACTGCAGCTGCAGGTGAAGAAAAAACTACCGCACACTCTGCATGTCAGAGGTCTGCCAGCAGCTGAGATGTGCCGTGTCAGGCCACCTGTCAGCGCACGGATCCAGCTTCCACAAGCTGTTCCCCTGCCCATGCAATCCCAGCAGCACATGGCCATGGTGCCTCATCCTCACTCCCTGGGTTAGAGGGACTCAGCATCCACCACAAACACCAGTTACCAAGCTCACAAGATATAAACAGTAGAAAATTGAGCTTGGAGGTTGCTTTTTTTTTTTCTTTTTTAAAATGTGGTTAACTGCAAGTGAAGATGCTCACTTTAAAACTGAGCAAGTTAAATTTTGTAAAATAAAATCATAATTTAAAAAAAAAAAAAATCACCTGCTTCATTCTGCCTGGCTTGCTTCCCAGCATGGATAGACTCCTCTTCAGCCACATTTATCTGTTGGTGTGAATTAATCCCATGTGAAAGTGTTCTTAAAAAAAGTAGAGTCTTTATCTGGTAAAATCAGCTACTTAAAAAAAAAAACAATTGTTGTTAATCACCAGCAACAAATCATTGGCAAGTCATTAGATGCTAGCTGAGTTGACCATTCGGAAATGCCTCAGTTCCTGCAAGGATATATGACAGCCACTGTAATATGGCTATTTACCCCATGCACGGTGTGTGAATGGATCACAAGCATAAGAAGTTAACCATATTAATTATTTTTTGTAAATGTTATCACACACATCCCCTGTGTTTTTACATTAGCTTATTAAAAACTTGAGGTTTTAAAAGTACCTACTTTTCATTTAGAAGCACCATATACAAAGTCAATCTAAGATTTGTGCCTTGCAGCATCCCTTTTCTCCAGGTTCTCATGTCACAATTTGCTCATCCTGTGCAATGTAACACTTTGAGCTAATGTAAGAGAATGTTTATACTTCAAGTTATGAAACTAAATGCCACAGACTTCATTTTCCTACTTCAGAAACTCAGCAAAAATAATCGTATCACACTGAATTGATTAACAAACCAGTTTAACCTTCCAGCTTCTAGACCATAAATTTGAGTTCCCTGAAACTTCTTTTCTAAAGCCTCTAGTCTCTCTTCCAGGCCAAAGCTAAGAACAACAATATGGAGAGCTACAAATCCTCAAGGGGATGACAGATATATAATAAACAGACATGAAAAAAAAAACCACCCAAAACCAACACTGAATGTTTTTGCCCAACGTATATCAAGTAATACAGTATGAGTTTTTCTTTTCTAAACTAAGAGCTTACCATCATTTTTTCGTCTCCCAACACTTTTCTAAGTACACTTAAGATTTCAAACTCAGCACTGAAAGATATTTTGATTTTTGTTGCTTCTGTTTTGTTAAGAGTAGCAGGAATCTTCATGTAAATTTTAACAATATTTTCTCCATCCTCCTCTGCATAAAAAAAAAGCGATTAAAACTGTTTTAGAGCAAGACATTCAGACTATCACCCCAAAAACATTTGAATGTTTATTTGTTGGTTGGTTTTTTAAGTCTCTTTTACATCTTGCCCACACATTTCCAATTACTCTGTTCACTCATTTCTTTCTCGTTGGATCTAGATGGTTATGTTATTCCCTAGCAGATCTATAAACTGACCCCTGAACACGTCATGCTTGGGTTGAGTGGGCAGGTTATTGTGCCCACAGACAGCCCAACAAGCAGAGCTGGTGCAAGGTGACCATTAAAGTGCACAACAGGGAGAGGGGGGGGGAAACAGGAACTCTTTGGTGACGGTGAGATTTTTAGGTTGGCTCCCTGTGCCTTGTGAACCCAAAGCCAAACGGAGGGTAACACTGGTTGGAAAACCTTACCCTTCAGGCTGTAACTGCTGACTGCTTCTTTCGACAGCCTCACAGAGTCCCAAAGAGCGCCCTTTGAAAACCAAAACCACCACATCAGAAGAGCCGAGCAAGCTCCCACTGCATTAGCCAACTACCCTGAGGCCACCTGGGCTTTGCTATTACCTCATTACTGTCCACATAGAAAGTCACACTCTGGCTGCCAGTGTTGAAGTCAATCCAGAACTCCTCCAGCTTCTCGTCTGATGGCTTCTTCACCTGGGGAAGCACAACAGCAGTGCTGCCTTTCCCAGAAAACCCCACAACTGCTGATTCATTCTCAGTTTTTTTTTTATACAAGACAATATGGGGAAAGTTGCCCTACATATGTGTGTACATATATGCAATACCTTACAGAAATAAGAGTCAGGAGCAGCCTGTAAGTTGCCAGCCTACCGCTCACCCAACCACACCCACAAAGTCAGATGTTGCTCTACATCAGCCAAGGGAAAGGCAATACTTCACACAAATGCTCACATTTGTGGGACGAAAGAGTCTATGAAAGTTTTTCTGTGTTTCCGAGCACAAGCAGTGGAACTGGCTTGCGTTGACTTGGTTTTGATTTGATACAACTGTCAGGAATGGTGCCACAAATACATTTACTTAAAGACAAGTGAAGCAATCTGCAGGATCTATAACTGACTACGACCTCTCCCTACAGGGGCATCAGGCTCATCTTGTTTTCTGGCAGCCTGGAAGCAGTTCTGCCAGAGGAATCAGAGTTGTCCTGTCCTCATGTTTCCTTTTAGAGATCTCTCTTCTGTCACCACCATGAAGAGGAGCGCTGCCTCTATCATTTTGCTGATACAAAAGCAAAGTCAGCAGCAGTAAGTTGGGAGCTAAGTGACAAACAAGCAAACTTTCCAACTAAAATAGAAGGTTACACTTTATACTCCAGAAAATTAAGCTCTTTAATGAAAAACAGGGAGGAAAAAAAAAAAAAAACAGAAAGTAACATTTTAACAGTGCTAACACTGTAGGGAAGGTGTCACAGTGTTAGGGACTATTACCTCATTCATGTCAGCAAAAGCGGATATGCACGGAAATGAATAGACTCTGGAAGAAAAGCAGACTTCACATGATTCATAAAGTCAGACTCTGATGTTGAATGTAAGACAAAAATCATTTAAGATCGCTTATTAATCTTATTGTTCAAAAAGGAATTAATAAATTCCTGGAATTAAACTAAGCTTGGAGAAGCTTAAAGAATAGAGTATTTCAGTAGTGATGCATTATCTTCTTTGGTTTTACTTTCAAAAGAACCACCATTAAAATGAATAAAATCTCTTTCTTAAGAACTTAATTATTCATGTGTATGATGAAAATCCTTTTCTTTGGACTGTAACCCAAGTCAGTTTACAATCCTAGATTTCCCCCTCTGCAGTAACGACAGCACCAATTTAGTCTGTTGCTTCACAGCTTACCTTCTTTCATCCCCAAGCCTTTCATTTAGCTGGTTAAGAAATTTTCTGCAGTCCTTCAAGACAAATGACATCTTATTAAAAAAAAAAAAATATCAGGCTACGTTCCCTTTGCAAAGAGTCATTCTATCAGGCTGTGTAACCTCTACTCCAGTTATAAGCTTTTAACTACTCAGTGTCACGCCAAAGCCCACTGGGGAAGAAACACTCAAGTTGCTGCAAATGGTTGGACCCAACTTATGACCAGCAAGCCTCCAAACAAACTACAAAAATTAAATTATTTATACTTTAGAAGTAAAATAACTTAGAAATAAGAGTTATTTTAACAATACACCAATTTCTATTTGCCATATTAAAAAAATAAAAAAAAACAAACCACCGTCCACAAATAACTAAATAACTTTGCGTATTTATAAAATCAGTTCTGTAGGAACTTCTTACAAAGACATCCTGACTGAACTCAACCAAAACTAGCCCCTATACAGACTTGTCAAGTATGTTGTTTTCAAAATAAGGACCCTCACCGTCTCAAATTCTCTATCCTTGATCTCTTTGAAAGCTTCAGCAAGATAGTTATCTTCAAACCAGTGGTGAACAAGGTCATCCCTCCATTTTTTTGTCATTAGCCTACAAAGTGCTTCTGAAAGGGCAACCTGAAGGTCATAATCTACATGGTAAACATAAGCACAGGATAAATATCACCCCCCAGCATAACAGAGGGTTATAGCATTGCTATTCTTGCACTTGTATACTACACAGTCGTATTCAACAGCTTCAGTTTCACCAAGGAAGACTGTGGAGGGTAACAGCCAAGCGCTAGCTCCAGCCATCCTCAGCTCCCCCTGGCTCAGCAAGGTCGAGGTGCAGAGCACAGCGAACCACAACACACACGGGCCTGATGTTCTTGGGGATCAGGGAGGGGACAAGAGTGAAGCCTCATCACTAACTCACTAGGATTATGTTACATTTGACACACCACAGTAACACCCTGGAAAGTGTTATCACTAGGAGAAAACAAAAAAGATTTCACTCAAGAGGCTATAAAACTTTGTTAACTGAAATTTGTCCACATTGTGGCAAAGTAGTCAAAATTTATTTTTTAAAGACTAACAGGAAGCATACTTTGTAAACACATACATAAAGCTGATCTGATTACTTTTCTACACACCTCTTTACCTTTTCTTATTAGTTAATACAAATTACTAATACTAACCAGAAATCACTAATGTATTGTTGCATCTAACAATTTTTGATAAATATTTTCTTAAAGTACCGTGTGATTTTCCTTCTCAAAAATCAACTCTTGACAAGGAAATAATTTAAGTTATATTTATTGTAGATGAACTAAGCAGATGAAGGAAAGCCGGAGGACCCCAGCTTCATAAGAATAACCACTAAATACTTCTTACCACCAACCTCCAGCATAGTTTTTGCAAGGTCTTTCCTGAAACAACATAATGCAATGAGTTAAAGTGGAAATAACTTTATCTCTTGTTGCAGAGAAGACTGCTACAGGAGCTGGAGGGAAAGCCACTCACGTGAGCGAGCACATCTCCTCAGACAGATGGAATTTCTTTCTCTCCTCCCGTGGGACACTGTCGAGTATAGAGTTGAGGGTCCTCAAAGCCTTTCACCCCACAGAAGAAGGGGCAGAAAAGGAAAGGAAATAATTCAGTAACATTTTTCACATATTGTATCTAATTACACACACTTGTGTGCGCATGTATCTCCTAGTAGGAGTCTTACCTCCTGCCGCAGATTGCAGGAAATACTTGCTTCTGTCACTAGATGCCCTAGTTCAGGCAAAAATAAATTCACCAGCTCTTTCTTCCCTAGAAAAAAATCATTTGAAAGGTTACAGCTAGAAATTAGCTGGTCTTCACACAAAAGACAGTTAAAGCAACTACAGTTTATTGTGTTGAAGGAGTTAAAATATCCCAGCTGGAAATTCATTTTAAAACAAAGCTTCCAACCATCTAATCCTGAATAGAAAAGTGAACTCATAACTTCTCTGTAACAAAAGCTGTAGATACTTTAACTGCTGACCTGGGTAACTATTTAAATAGGCACAGAAAGGAGAAGCTCCTTACTAACCACAAGAGATAAATCCGTAATATACAGCTTTTGTCAAAGTTGACAGAGCAAACTGCTACAGTATTAACCCGAAGACAGTCGTGCCAGCTCTGCTCCCACTACAATAAGGTACAAGGATGAGTAAGTTCAAGTTACCTGCCCCAAATTGAGCCTGGATGTCTGGGCACACAGATACTTGCTCTTTCTGAAAGCACCCAAAAAAAAAGGAAATCCAGTTGCAGCCACAGGCAAAATCTTGCCACTGAAACAAATGAGGCAGACAGAGATCCCTCTGCCAAGTTAGGATGGCTGAAGAAGTTACCATGTTATTCTGCAGAGGTGGTTGCCTTTAGCAAGGGAATAACATCTGAAGCAAAAACAAATAGATGTGCAAGAGCAGACTGTCTAGCCTGAACCCCTTTCAGAAGCATCACTTGCTCTAAGTGAAATACTTCACGCCGACCATTTAAACAAGATACTACCACAGCTAGATCATTATTTTTTTTAGCATATTCAAAACAAGCAAAATGAAACAGTGAAAGGCTTTGCGCTCTGATGCAACAGTTAAAATTAACTGTAAAGAAATCAGCAGGAGGATAGAAAGAAAACATTGCAGAGAGGAGGAGGAAGGGAGTAGAGGGGAGAAGAGAAAGGGGAGTCAGTTCAAGAAGAAATGTGTTCCCAAGATAGAGATTCAGGATATTGAGGAATGGAAGGGGAAAAAAAAAAAAAAAAAACTGACCTTCAATACTGCATCTGCAAATCACCTGATGGAAGAAGCCAAGAAAGCCATCATTAACATGCCACAACCCAAGAACAGCTATACACAAAGCGCTGAGGTATTTATGCCCCCACCACCACACCTTTCCAGGGCTAAATAACATAAAACATTCACGTACCCACATCTGGAAAAGCAGTGCCACCCAATATAGGTATGTCACATACGCTCACCCTGACCATACAGGTTGGCATTATGCAGGAAGGGTAAAGGGAACGAAGCACCCGCTTCCCCCAGGAATTTCAGCAGCACTCGAGAGTGCAGTGCCCTCAGCTTCTCTGGAAAACCCACATCGTGGCATCGCTTCGTTACTGTTATTGCACACATGGGCCTATGCAAAAACCCACTTTATATTTATGCACTACAATGCTAGATATATCTGAATAGCGTTAAAGTCCATTGAGGAAGATTAAAAATAATAATGAAAAACCAGAACACAAAACAACACTTCATCCTCCACAGTGAAAGCATATGGGGAAAAAAAATGTACTGGAAAACAAATCAAATTTTGACAAACAAATAATTTATAGAGTATTTCATATAATTCAATGTGGTTAGTAGATAAAGAAGAAAATTTGATTGTGCTCAAATATCTTTTATCAAGTCTCCTGAAAAGAGTCATAAGTATTCAAATAAATTCTGATGCACAAAATGACACAATTCCAGTAAGCTACAGACAAGATTGGGTGAACAGCTTGGGGAAAGAATCTAAAAGCATTCTTCCCACTGAAAATTTACATCACTAGGCCTCCAATAACTTTAAAGTTATGAATATTTAAAATAGAGACCTAAATGAGATTTGTGAGCAGCTCAGATTACTCTTTAAAAATCACCTGTTTCAAACACCATAGGAACAAACCACCAGGACCACCTTGGGCAAACACGTTTGCACATAAGGTGCAGCTCAGAGTCAGTAACTTGTTTTTTTAAAGGACCGCTGCAGCACAACAGCTTTTCTTTACAAAATGCATCAGAACAACTTGCCCATTTTCCTGCAAAAAACCACAAGCACTTGGCTTCATGTCAGAAAAATGAGAAAACACTGCAGCTCTGAGCAACCCCACAGCAGCTTCTCCCAGGTGTGTCAAACCTCAGCCTGACACCAGCCCAGAGCACACACCTGGGGGGCACTGCCCATCCCCACCACCTGAGCTGCGACCCAGGCTTATTTTTTAACAGAAAACTGTTTGTTTGTGAATGATGGCTTTCTTTATCCAATAAAGGCAACCCTTCTGCCCCCTTAATGCACATACATACCAATGCGGAGTCAAAGAAGTCTTCAAGCAGTAACATCAAAAATGTATTCTCCTTTGCATCGATGAGGGTCACAAATGCTCTTGCTCTTTCAAACCAAGATACCAGGTAAAAGTTAAAAGAATCAGTTTAAACCTGGGAGGAAGGGTTAATAATCCTTAAACTAGATACATCTGTAGGAAACCTTCCATACCTAGACAGGGTTTTTTTTAGTCCTTGAACTTCAGAGTCACATACTGTGTCAAAAGCTACACAGCGTTAAGGAGCTCGAATTTTGCTAGGAATTTTGCTATGTGCCAGCCTCGCACCCCCTCAGTAGGACTTATCCCCCCTCCTTTTGTCTTCCTTTCTCATCTCAAGGCACCCACTCTTGGTGCTCAGGACCTCCTTGATAAAATGCACGGTGCTAGTGGCATCATAACTCCTATGGAAATTTCCAGAGGACATCAATTCACAGTGAAATAACGTTTTAAAAATTCATGAAACTTTTCCAAAGTCATTATTTTAATACTTTATGTTATTAAACTTATTGCATAGCATAACACGCTTATGGCTAAATAGAAATCTATGCTTCACTGGAGATAGAGAGCTCAGTTTGGTAAACTTCATTAATGAACTCTCGATACATGAATTTTGGGCAACTGTATCCCTAAGAAGCATAATTACAAGGCAGGATTACAACATTTTGAACTGAGGACTCCTTGGTACAACTCTGCCAACAGAGAGCAAGCATTAACTGTTCCCTCCTAGCTATGCTAGATCCAGCTGTTGCTTACCTTCAGCACAAGTGCACTTCTGCTATTACAAGTATTAGCAGCTGAAATCAGTATCATACCAGAAGATAAAACACAATTGCAGATTAAATGCATCTGGTTTACCATGTATCTAAAAAGGGACCTTCATAAAGAGCATGGCAGTTTTTGAAATTACAAAGGCACAAATTGCTCATCCATTCTACCAGTAAAACTGTATTTTGCTGAAGCACTTAAAATGCATTTAGAAATTCTGTATCATTTCACAAATGGGACTTCATCAAAACTCATCCTCTCCTTCCATTGTCAGCTTAAAAAAAAAAAAGCCATAAACCCATTCAGCCACGTAATAATTGAAGCCATGATGTTGCTATACTGAAAGTAATGCAATGAAACTAAGCATTTTTTCCCCACTCAGCTCATGCAATATATTTAAAAAATATTTCTTTTCTGCATGGCCAACAAGCTATCCTCTGGTTCTCACTTCCCTGGAGTTCTTTTTCTGATGCAAACAACCTTAAATCACATTAGTAACTCATATACAGTATTATACTCATCTTTTCTACCAGTCCTTGCTCAATAAACAAACTCGTCCCTTCTTGAAGATCACTTTTAAAGTAGAGCTGAATACATTTCAGCAGCAGCGAAACATTCTCGAATTCATTCTTGTCCAGCTCCTACAGAAACACAGAGTGCTGTGCTTCATTAGTCTGATACCCATAGAGCTGAGCGTTAAGATAGTTAGGATTATTTATGGTACTCACCTTTCTCAGTGCTTTGTCTAGCTGACTGAAGAGAGATTTGCTGTATTTCTGGAGAGGCTCTATTTCTCTTTCTTGAAGCAGTTCGCTTATTTTCTGATATCCCTTCCCCTTAAAAGCATCAGTCAGAAGCGATTCGAGCTGCAGAAAGAACGGAAGCAAACAACTGGCAAGTAAAGTAAGCCAGGATCTGAATTGTTGCAGCACCGATGAGGAGAAAATACCCATAACACTATTTTAAAAGTTGTAGGTTTTTTTGTTCATTTGTTTTTACTTTGTTTCTCTATTTTCATTTTACTGTTAGGTATGAAGGTGAAACATCAGTCCTAATCTCAAAAAAAACCCATGACATTTGAAACTAAGCAACGTTAAAGGATGCTGAACAAGGAAATAAGCAACTCCTTTAGCATACTCAGTTTGCAATTCTTATCATGTCCTGCAACTATTAAAATCATTTCTTCCCCCTTACTAAGGACAAGATTAAGGGGTCTGCTGCATTTGCAAGATTATATTAAATTACTAAAAACTCTAGGTCATCCCCTATCCATTTAAGAATGCACCTATAAATGGATATATAGCTATTTGTAAGATAAGGATGCATTTAAAAGATACTTACATAGTCTTCCGCTATGGCTACCACATTGACATTCATCTCTTTATTACGGTCCTCATTTTTTCCTTCCTTTAAAAAGAAAAAGGAGAGAAAATCACTTCAAACACCACCACTCCCCCAACACCTACAAACCAGAGGTTTACCATAGCCGTGACTATGAGAAGCGGGAACCGGGCACCGGGGCTGCCCCACGGCAGGATCACGCCGCGTATCCTCTTCTTTCTTTCTGTCTGTCTGTCTGCCTGTCTGTCTGTCCCTCCCCCGGTCCGGTCGCCGGTTCCCCGCCGCAGGGAGCGGGACTTACCTGGGCCATGCCGGGGGGCGCACTCCGGGCTGCGGCTCGGGGGAGGGGGGAGAAGGTGCCGGGGCAGCTTCACCCCCTCCCCACGACCCTCGCACGACCGTGGCCAACCGCTGGATACACCCGCGTTTGGGACAGAGGGGAGACACTCGCCAGCGTTTCCCACAGCTCCCAGCGCTCTCCGTCCCTCGGCAAACCTGAGTCTAACCCCCAGCGCTGGGGGGGGAAGAGAAAAAAAGCCGATTTTCGCACCCGCACTAAAAAGCCGCACCTGTGCTGCGGCAAAGGGACACGCACACACTCCCGCACCCCGGTGATGGCGAGCAGAGGGGTGCAAAAGAGGAGCCCGGGGAGGGCTGCTTTTTGTTGGGGGGTGACAGCTAGTGTTTTCTGTTACAGGCTCGTTTTTAATTTGTAAACGATTAAAGGTAAAGTTCGGTAATTTTTTAGAGTGGACCGGATGGAAGCAAATGAGAAAATCCTTCAGAACAGGTGGGATCGTTTAAAGGATTATAGCAGTGCCAGCTATTCAACAATTCCGTCTCTATAATATTATCTATACTTAATGTTTTTTTTTTCTTTCTGTTTTTGAGAGCTAAAACCAAACTTTTGTTTCCCAAAAAGCCCCATCGGCTATTTCTTCCTAAACCAAAAAGGTAACAAAATGTGTTACCTGTAACTTTCCAATAAGTTAAAATACGCCGATCAATAAGGCGGCACTGACTCTGCTTTTGTGGTTTAAACCTCATGTCATAGAGCACAGCGTAAAGGGAGAAACATGCTTAATAACGCTTAATTCGTTTACATCTAACGGCGAAGAGAGCTTGTACACGTGTATTTAAGGAAGAGCAGGTTATTTCTACAGTCCCTTTGACTCCCTCCGGGGGCTTCTCAAGCCGCCGGCAGCTCCGAGCCCCCCCTCGAAATCAAACATTAGGGACACGCACCCCCCTCAAAAAATTCCAGACCCTGCTCAAATTTGCAGAAGTGGCGGCCCCCGGTGCCGGGGGGGTGGATTTAAGCAAGACCCCCCCCAGGCTGCCCCCCCCAAATCTCAGAGCCCACTCAAGGGCTGCGGGGACTTCCCCGCCTGCGGGGCCGGCTGGGAGCTCCCCCCCTTCCCCCGGGGACGCCCCGACCGCATAAAAAAGCGGGAGTCGCCGCCCGCCGCCGCCCCCCGGCATGAAGCTCACCTGGGACATCAACGACCCCAAACTGCCGCAGGTACCGGGGGGTGGGGAGGTGGCGGTAGAAAATCGCCGGCCGGTTATACCGCGGGGCCAGGAGGCTGAGAGGCCACAAGAAAAAAAAAGCTTCCTCCTCCCCGAGCAAAGCTTCATTTTATAGCTGGTTTAATTCTCCCACACCTTTTCAAATAGAATTATATGGGTCTTGATGGGCGGCAGTAGGCAATACGAAATAACTTGAAATAAAAATATGGATTTGATATACAGCTTCGGCCAGCTGTGTATGAACTCCTAAAATAATCTTCAGCTCCGCTGTTTGGTCAGTTTCCTTTTCCTTCCTTCCCCATTTAAAGAAATGTTGAAAAGAAGCTCAGATTGACTATTTTCTGCTACTATAATTCAAGCTATCTAAATATTTTATTGGTTTGTTGATGTAACATTTTATTGTCAACGAGCACTCCACTTTGCTCTAGTTGTGGGTTTCAAATGCGTTGTTGATTCGCAACTTTTTTCATCTTGGAGTTTGTTTAATTTTACAGAGCCCATGCAATTACAGAATGGCTTAACGCTGTAAAAACTGGTAGTTCACCTGCATTCATTGGGATTGGTCACATGTGGTGCATATGTATGTTAAATGAGCGTTGCAGGAACACTTTTTTTATACTGTAAATATTTTGAGTTTAAAAATCTTAGTTATTCTTTCATTGTCCTGGTAAGGAACATTTTGGTAAGGAACTCTAGAAAGCCAGTGACATCCCAAACTGAAATTTTCTTTCTCCAAACTACTATACATATATGGGAAGTACATTTACAATGACAATTTTTTTAACCTTGATTTTTTGGCAGAAGCCTTATTCAACTTATATTAGATGCACTTTAAGAAACCATGCCTTAGCTAAAACTTCTAGTTTCTACTCTGCAGGTGCACGATCCCACAATGAGGATTAATAGCAACTATGAGCAGGACAGCTTCTGTCCTGTCTGGGCACACTGGTGGTACACCAGTCAGTAAATTCCAGTAACAAGACTGATCTCTTACAGCTGGGTAACCTTGTTACAAAGAGGCAACTGTGACAACAGACAGCGTTATTACAGATCATGATGTAAAAGAGGAAAAGATCCTGACTTTCTTTTGAGACCTGGAAGCTCAGACCGCCTTTCCCCTTTTATAGAGCATTTCTGAATAAGCTACTCTTTCAATATTCTTTTTTTCTGTTGCTTGGGTGGTGATAGAAAAATCCCCTTTTTCCCATTATTTTGTAACAGGGCAAACCCATCAGGTCGCAATATCCTGCTAATATTCTCTTGCCCTCCTCCTTGCTCCTCCACCCCCACTTGCTCTGCCACAGGAGCCCAAGCACTTCGACACCTTCCAGGAATGGCCCGACGGCTACGTGCGGTTCATCTACTCCAGCGAGGAGAAGAACGCGCAGAGACACCTCAGCGGCTGGGCCATGCGCAACACCAACAACCACAACTGCCAGATCCTCAAGAAGTCCTGCCTGGGGGTGGTGGTGTGCGCCAGGAGCTGCGCTCTGCCCGGTGGAGGCCGGCTGCAGCTTCGCCCCGCCATATGCGACAAGGCTCGGCAGAAGCAGCAAAGTGAGTGGTGCCCAAGGAGAGCTGGGATGCCCAAGGGAACCCCCCTTTCTTTCACCTGGGATTGATTTCTAAAGTGGGATCGCCCTTACTTGCATGCAGACTGAGGCATAATTGCAAATGTTGTGACGAATACATTTCTTTCCAAATTTCATCGATGTCTGTCTGTAAATACTGAAATGGATCTAAAATTCTTTAACTCATTAGCTTTTATATCAAGTATGCACCTCTAGTCCATACCTTTCAGTGATGCTTGGTAGCCTACGTTGCGTTTCCTTGAACATCACATTTTAATCTGAATTTCAGTGAAGGCTGATCATACTGCTCTTGAGCCATGTTTACTCTCAGACAGCATACTTGCCTTTAACCAGTGTCCTCAGTAGTTTCTTTATCTCCATTCGCAGAGAAAGCCTGCCCAAACTGTAACTCGGCCCTTGAGCTGATTCCTTGCCGAGGACACAGTGGCTATCCAGTCACTAACTTCTGGAGGCTTGATGGCAAAGCAATATTTTTCCAGGTAAAAAGCATGCATGCATATGTGCATGTACATATATAAATCATATTCATATATAAATTATATCCAGAGAGAGATTTCTCCCTCCCTGCCTTTTTTCTTCTTTTTTTTTTTTTTTGTAATACTAAGCATGGTGGACTCCTGGTCCATGACTGAATTATTTTGTTTTATTTGTTCTTGCCATGTTTGTCCTACAATAACAGTTGGCTGTCTTAAAAGTAGCACTTGAGGGTTAACTACATATTCAATTTTAACCATAACATCGTTATAGATGTCTAAAGTTCTCCTGTTTACAGTACAAATATGAACAAAAAGGTTGTCCTGCACCCTGGCGCATCTGACAACTGAATCTCACCAAGGACCTAATAGTTATTTCCTATTAAAATAAATAAATGGGGGGGAAAAAAGCCTTACTTAAATTGCACAAGTTGAAATCAGAAAATTCTACTTCATGTGAAAATAACCTTTGAATTTTAAGAGGATTTAAAAACTTGCCAGAAAAAAAGAAAAGTTAGAAAGCTAAAATTTTAAATTTCAGGTTGATTTGTTCTTTTTTAGCAACATTAGGACAAAACTTCGCAAAAAAAGCTTCTGTTCTAAGAGATTACATTCTCTGCTGGATGATTTTTTTTTTTTTTTTCCCTGAACCACACTACAGTGAGTTCTGTTCTCCAGTCAGTAAATGGAAGCAAACTGGCCACGTACCCAAATTCTCACCTGTATTATTATTATTATTACTATTCAGATATTCTGTTACAGACATGCAAAAACTGACAATCTTTACCATCAAAATAGTCGATAAATCCCCGCTTAAAGTTAATTTCTATTTGAGAAACAGCTGCATTTTAAAAGCAATTTTAAAGTTTTCTACTTTGTATTAGGGACTACATGCAGGTCCATTTAGGGGAATGTAATGGGTAAGGATAGAATGTAGAATACATTGTTTCATTGCATATCAATATAGCTTTGGATAAATAGATCTTCATATCCACAGATGTTTCCATAACAGAGCATCTTTGGATGGCTTTCCAGGGTACGCGTTTCAGTCCTTTTCAGTAAGGTGTTTACTGTTTTTAGAGTACAGAATATTTGTCATCTGGTAGCGTAAAACTTCTTTAAAGCTTATTTATACTGTTTTAGCGGTGGCTGTTTTAAAGAAGAACCGAGATCCTGGACTGCAGAAAACCAACCAAACTAAATTTATAATCTTTTTTTCCCCTTGGTTCTAATCAGCTACTCCTGAATGTCACAAACATAGGTAACACCTTTGCTCCTGCATCAGCTCTGCAGTCCTCACTGACTTTTCCCTCACTTTTTTCCTTCTATCTACCTGCAAATCATGATTTATTTTATTTAGTTTTACATTTAATCCCCCATTATTATTTAGTTTCTCCTCCCCGTTCTCTTGTGCCAAACCACAGACTGTGCCATGGCTACCTCTCATAGTACTTACTGCATTTTCTATTCTTTTACCCGCTTCCAGTTCACATGTAATTTCTTGCTAATTCTAATTTAGGCTAAAGGAGTCCATGACCACCCCAGGCCAGAGAGTAAACTGGAGGCAGAGGCAAGACGAAGTGCAATTAAGAAGCAAATGTCCTCTTCTCACCATTCCCAGAAAAAGAGACTTCTAAACTCAGAGGTAAGTCAAAGTCATTAGTCAATTAAAAAGGTGTCATAAGCATGTACTGGGGATCTCGGGGCAAAACAAA